ATCTTAGACACAAATTATTGTTCAAATCATTGCATCTCAATAAGTCTAATGGTGGGGATCTTAAACGAATAAGACATTATGAAAGGAGTAATATAATACTGATAAAGTATGCAACACAACCATGAAAATATTTTAAGAAATTTAGCTCGTCATTGAAATGTTATTTCATCCTTCTTTTTTACAATAACGATGACTTCACACTTTTCCTCATACAGCCTTTGTCTACGAGTCACGACAAACCAGTGATGTGTTAGCTGTCGCCTCAGCCCGAATGGGTGCACATTCAAAGAATAGCATTGTGAAATTAAAAACTGACATTGGAAAAAGAAAAATCATCATAATTCATTTCACAAGTTCATGTTGTTTAACACTGCGGGTAACCTTAGCAACATGGCGAGATAGACTTACAGCAAAGAATGATCGACACAGGACAGAAAAAAAAGGTAAATAATGATATAAATGCAACACTATAGTGATTAATGGATCTAACGGGGCTGTCGCTTAAAGCGATGCCTCATTATTTAGCAGAAGTGTGTATTTTTCTCAGTTGATGTACTGAAGCCATCTTTGTTTCAAGAACAACAGATCTTACGGTACACAATGGTCTTTCATAGACAGGATGATGAAAAAGCTTTACAGGCACAGGCTGGTATAGTTTAAATTAAAAAAAAAGTGTCTTTTCAACTTGTTCGTTTTTCATTTGTGTTTTATGATGACAGTACCAGAAAAATGGCACATAAACTGCAAAGAGGATCAAGTAAGTGTAGTGAGAAGCATCTTTTAATGGATTTGAAAATGTGTGCACGGTCACTTTCTTCTATGTCGATGAAATCTCATCTATCAGCTTACAGATGTGTCTTTTATCAGGATGCTTGCAAGGGAGATTTAAGACTCTACCACTTGCTGTGCCACAATTTTCACATCATTTTTCACACGTCTCTGCTATTAGGCAGTCGTGTCATCAGTATTCATATGTCATTCAGTTATATGTTATTGGTAAAAAAAAAATCTCAGCTGTGGTTGTAATCCACAATTAGAATTAAAAGTCTGAGGGGAGGAGGAACCCCACCTTCATACTGAACACTTTTATTAAAACAGCATGGTGTAGATAAACTGTGAGTAAGATATTAAAATGCAAATCGTGTGTCATCTCTTATGGTCTGTCATTAGTGTGCTGTGTAATTAAAAGTATAACCAGCATTATTTAAAGAGTGTTGTGTCCAATGAAATCCACGGTAATCAATTAAAATGTTGAGCTCAGGCTCTCCTCAATACTCCAGCTTTGTATGAACCAGTTAATTCAATCTGGCAATCTATTAGCTCTGAGACATTGTTATTGGAAAAACACTTTGGAGACCCGTCTATAGGTAGTGATGGGGCCATGAATCAAAACATTTTTGTTGTGTGCAGAGGAGAGTGTAATAGACCCTTTTTAGAAACCAGTCCGCCAAACAGTCAACCCAGAGGCCTGCAAAAAGAAATGTCATGTCTTGATGAATGGCTGTCTTTTGAGCTGTGCTCCCCATACAAGTTTACCTCTTGCTGTATAATAAATCATGATAAATTGGGTCTCCGTTGGAAGTATAGGCTAATTATTTCCTCATTTCAGTCCCCTCCCCGTTGTGTTGCTGGAGTACGTTTCATGTCCTGAAGGTCCAGTGCTCAACAGTTGTGTCCATGTTTTATGTTTTACTGTCCTTTCTGACAGTCACCTGCCCCAATCTGGTCCCACAGAGTGGGAGTTTTTATGACTGACTCTGTGTGACATCCAGTGTTATGGAGACTGATTAGGATAATAGCTCTGCAAAGGTCTGGCGGCCTGCCTGCAGGCTCCGCTCCATGCTACAGTCATCGAACCACAAGCGAGAGCAGCCACATCTCTGCCACAGAGAACCAGAGGCATAAACTACAGAACAGAGCTGTGAAAAAGAAAATATATAGATATTTTAGAGTGTATCCAGCAGGAGATATGTATGTCTTTATTGCAGTTGGTCATTGTTTAATGTCACTTGCAATGTGACACAATCCAATGCGATACAATACAATTTTTTATTTTCAGCTTACACTGAAATTTACGTAATGAGCTGTTGAACAAAGTGGGGCCTAAAGAGCACATTTTAGATATGATGACTAATTCTGACAGACGAGATATTTTGAGTTCATCACTTTTTGAGTCACAGCAGTGGAGAGTTGTGCCAATCATCATCCCTGGTGTTTTGATTTGTTGGTGTTAACTGGATCCTTATTAACTCACCTTCCATCAAAATATGCTTTTCAAAAGTTAATCATCATTGTGTTGTTCTAAAACACTGATGCAACAAGGCTCATTACATGCCTCAGTAGTTGTGACTCCTCTGAAGTTTCTCTTTCTGTTTAAAAAAAAAAAAAAAAAAAAGCCTTTGATCATATTATTATTATGATGCTATAAGAAAATCCACAATCTTTGTGCATGGCAGCTTTTCTTTAGAAAATCTTCACTTTGCCATTTTATCTTTTGGAGGTCAAACGAGGCAGCGGAGCAAAAAGCATAATTACGTCAGGTCTCTTTTGTTGAGAGCAGATTGTCGAGCAAAATTCAGCCAGCTTAATAAAGCTCTCATAATCAGGACTTCCATCTCTCTCTTATACCCGTTCCTTCTCTCACTTATATCTTGTTAATATCTCACCAACTGATATATGCTGCCACCCGACTCAATAGCAAATGGACCCATTTATATCTCTGTCTCACTTATGGAGACAAAAACCACACACAGAAATGTCTGATGTTGAATATAAAGTGATGCACTGAATGATGCACAGTCATCATGGCCGTTATAGTCGCACGGATTAGCGATTCATCATTTGGTTCGATTGATCGGCACTAAAAAATAAATGACTGCACGGAGGGGTAACGCTAGCCTTCTCTCCGAGCCATGGTTCGTCAGTACACGAGTCATTGAAGAGACAAGGCATTATGTAATTTCTCTCACTTCAGGTTTGCTTAGGCACAGAGCATCTGGTCTTAAAATGAAATTCAGAAGGAGCAAAATGTGCAGTCTTCAGCATCAGTCAGAGTCTGGGACAAACTGAGTAGTCTATCTAATCTGGTGGTCTGTCTGTGTTTGCACATGAGGAACCCAGACCAGCTCAGAAGTGTTTGTTCTGGGAGGTACTGTCAGGAGTTCTGTCTCATAAATATTCTTTGCTTCATTCTGAAATGTGAGATTTTAAAGTGACAATGTGGGACATAGTGACTGCTTGCTGCTAGCTGGCCCTGGTCATTGTGTATTTGAACATGTGTACATGTACACACACTGCCTTGTTTTGTGTCGGTTCCTGTTTTCCCCTTGTTATTAACCTCAGAGCAAACAGTCAAACAGTCCTGTTATTCTGTTTTCCCTCTGCCTTACCCTCCTCTGGATTTAGAAAGTATTGCCGTCTCTGTGTATTTCTGGCGTCTGAGTAAACTGCTGGTAAAGGCAACGACTGTTTGCTTCTCTAAATCCTGTGAGATATTACTGTGACAGCACAAGGGGAGGAGAAGTCTGATATTGTGAGCAAATACTCTCAACATAAGAGTTTTGCTGAAAGACTCTGGTGAAAAGGGAACATAAACTGAACCAAACAACATTTGTAAGACTCTATTCTCAAACTGACACCAAATAAATAGTATAGCTGTAGTCACAGTGCAAGTTGAGAAGGTTTTTTTCTCACAGTTCACAGGCATAAAGTCCACTACTTCATGTAAGAGATTGCCTTTCTACAAAGAAGAAGTCATTGTTTTCAAAGCATGTACCGTATCCTCTGATGTTAATGTCATGTTTCTCAGTCTAACAAAGTACCTTGCTTTACAATATGGGTATAGACTGCAACTAATTGCAGTCTATGGTTAAATGGAATTCAAATCATGTCATTACGGCTAAATGTTTCTGCTCAGCCCGGGTTTTCTACTTCTCCAGCTTTGAAAATGGAAATGTAGGGTTTCATTACATTATGGCCATTCTCCTGTGAAGTGCTTTTTCTGTTCTGGCTTCCGTAAATAAATAAAAAAGCCACCGCGAGCTTCAAAAGCCAGGATAGATGATATACATGCTAACATAGCATACTGCTCAGTTACTGCGCAAAGAGCACAAATGAATGCCATTTCAGTCTCCGTGCCGGAGAACTACTGCTAAAAGAAATAGACATGCCAATTTCTATCACAGGCAGACAGTATACAGCAGCGCAGCTTTGAACTAACAGGGAGGGGGGAAAAATCCCCCCAGGGGAGAAGTTTATCATGGCATCGTGTTTCCTTTGTGCCACCATATCACACTGTTATGCAGAATGCTGCCTTTGAGCCACAGGCCCGGTTCTAGACTGCTTTGAAGGGGGGGGGGTATCACCAATGTCTAGTGTTAATACGAGTGCCTTTTAGGACTGTAAGCTATAAAGCATACAGTTCCTTATTTTTATCTCAAACCGTGTCTCAATAGGCCGTGTACGGTGATTTGGACCTTCCACAAGGATATGGAGTAAAGTAGCCAGCTGAGGGGGGTTCAGGGGGCATCTAGGGGCATGCTGTATTGATATACTTTGCACCTAAATACTCTCTCCCAGTCACATCACTGGTCTCATAGCTCTGAGACAGCAGTGCCAATCACAGTTAATCGTGACATTCAGAATCATAATTTAATCCCAGCACAAAGTGATGTGGATTTAGATCCCCAATACTTTCTAAATCTCTTTTGGACTGACAAACAAAGAATTACAATTTGAGGTACTGTGTACACATTCATGTATCAGCTATAATAATCTAATATGTTTTGATACTAAAGCACTCACAGGGGTATGCTTTGATATGCTTTCTTCTGCATTGTTTCTACAGTACTTGAATACTTGAATACTTGAATATATATATATATTTATATATATATTGAATAAATATATTATGATAGTCAGCATTTCCTTATTTGGTTAACTTGTTGCTAAACCTATATATATACAAACATGTAATGTATTTATCTCTCTCTCTCTTTCAGATGTAAATGGGGAAGAAGAATGTCATCAAGAGAAATTGGATATCCATATGAATTTAAAGTGCTTTGCATTAAAACACAAACAGCATCACTTCTCTCTGAAGTAATCCATTACTGACAGTTAATGTCAAACTGCACACTGGAGCAGCTTCATGCTGCCTCGCTGGGTGAAACATTGCTAATGGAAAGAAAGCTTTATAAGATCCTGCTGATCAAAACACACCTAAATGCAGCATAATGCCTTCAAAAGTGTCATGTTTATACCTGTTGACTGTGGTCTGCTGGGCGAGCGCTCTGTGGTACCTGAGTATCTCTCGCCCGACGGGCACCTATGTCGGCCACATGTCTGTGCCTATACGCAAGGCTGCGAAACCCCCAAAAAACATCACCTTCACCAACATCCACACCCGCTCCCTTAACCCACATGCCTTTGAATTTGTCATCAATGAGCCGAAGAAGTGCGAAAGTGACGCTCCCTTCCTGGTCATCCTCATTAGCACCACGCACAAGGAGTTTGATGCGCGGCAGGCCATCCGTGAGACCTGGGGGGATGAGAGCACCTTCGGCGACATCAACATCCTCACCATCTTTCTGCTGGGCAGGAACACAGACCCCGTCCTGAACCAGATGGTGGAGCAGGAGAGCCAGATCTTCCATGACATTGTGGTGGAGGACTTTATTGATTCCTACCACAACCTCACCCTCAAGACCATGATGGGCATGCGCTGGGTGGCTACCTTCTGCCCCAAAGCGCAGTATGTCATGAAGACCGACAGCGACATCTTTGTCAACATGGACAACCTGATCTACAAGCTCCTGAAGCCCACCACCAAGCCAAGGCGGAGATATTTTACTGGCTATGTTATAAACGGTGGTCCCATAAGGGATATGCGCAGTAAGTGGTATATGTCCAGGGACTTGTATCCCGACAGTAGGTACCCACCTTTCTGCTCAGGCACCGGCTACGTGTTCTCAACGGATGTTGCTGAGCTCATCTTCAAGACTTCATTACACACAAGACTGTTACACCTGGAGGACGTGTATGTGGGACTGTGTTTGCGTAAGCTGGGTATACACCCGTATCAGAACAGTGGTTTTAATCACTGGAAAATGGCCTACAGTCTCTGCAGGTACAGACGGGTTATCACTGTGCACCAGATCTCCCCGGAGGAGATGCACCGCATTTGGAACGACATGTCCAGCAAGAAGCACCTGAGATGTTAAGAGACCCAAGGGCCACTGAACAACAACTTCTTTTTCTTTGCCTTTTTCCTCCTTGTAAAAACACTGACGGCTGCTGCAAGCCTCTATTTGATGACAAATGTTTTCATTAGCATCCATCTATGTCTATCTCTGCTGATCATGCATCACGATTGTTAATGAATGCATGAGGCTTGTAAAGCGCGTACGCCCACGCATAATCAAAACATGGTGTTTGTTACTGAAAAGTAATTTTGTATTCCAAGTACAAAATTTAAGCAGAATATTCCTTATAAGCATTAAGTCAATCAGTGCGAAGCATTAAGTAGTGTGGCCTGATGGGTAGAGACTGTGTTTGAAAGCAGATGACCTTGGTTCAAGCCCTGCTAAAGTGTCCTTGAGCAAGACACTGGATCTCTACCAGCTGCATGGCTGCTGAGTAAGCACTCTGATCTTCCTGTAGGAGAGCAAGCCAAAAAGACAATTTCTGTGCAGGAATTAATTAGGTACTAAATTACTATATCACAACTATAATAGTATACGAGAGAGCAAATGGTAATCATATCGAACAACGAACCAGATTGTCTGTTGAGGTAAAACTACATAGACACGCTAGCTGCTCTCCCCTTTTTTCATCTTTATAATAAACACAGTTGAATATATACGCTGCAGTATATCGTTAGTCTCCCAACAGACCGAACCACGTTGAAAGTTCATTTGATATTTTTCAACTGATCATTTTTCCTTTGCATTGCTAAAAGTGAAACCACATAGGATGTTCTTTTATTTATGAATTTTGCCTAATGTTTTTGTTTACATATTTTTATAACTTCACTGCCTCTTCTCTCCGATAAAGCCAGATGTATATTTTGTTTTTTAAATGCATTCAGTTTTTTCTCTCCTCTTTGACATTTTTTGTACTTGAGGTAATTGTGTGTCTCAGCTACCAGCTCGTTACTCCAGCTGCTGCTCTTGGTTAATGATTGCTGTATGTCAGCAGCTATTGCAGCGCATCGCCTCCTCCATATATCAAGAGAAATACAGTATCACATTGTTCAAGTAGGAGTTTAGCTGTAGCTAAGGCCATTACAGACTGGATGTATCAGTGTATGTATCTGGCATATCAGTGATAACTGAAGCGCTGCTACTGACATCACGGAAAGATTTTGTGCTTCTCAGAAAATGTGGCTTTCATGGACAAATTTTCATTTCTTTTTTTGAAGGGTTTTGTAGTATTAAAAGCTAATGTGACATTTACTGTGAAAAGCATCCATCCCGCAAGGGGTTGTTGTTATATATTGTATGTTTTTTATATTAAAAAACAAATAATTAAAGTTACATTGCTGCTTTCACTTGTTGCCTGTTTTGAGTTCCCCGTTATACATTTACAGAAGGTTACTTTAACTTTATTGAAGAAGAAGTCATTGTGTGTGTAATTAAAGAACAGGTTGTTTTGTGGTCACAGAAGGGAGTATTTTAAATGATTTAGCTATTTCAAGCAGACTTACATAGCTTCTTGAACAACGGATTTGGCTACAAATCTAAAATTATACTTTAACAAAAGCATAACTAGAGATGAGGCTTTAAAGTCAGCAAACTCACTCTATATCGTTGGTTACACAGCAATATATATCTAAAGTTTGCCAAGTTTGGATAACCAGGATTGTATTAAATTGAGCAATGGTGCATTTCGTTGCTCATGAATTAAACTTCTCATTTGTAAGAGGAAAAATATTGCTTTTGCTCATGATTTTTCTTCTCCAGAAAAAATCTATTTTATATCATTCCATCCTGGAAGAGGGATCCCTTCTGTGAAGCTCTTCCTGAGGTTTCCTCCGTTAGAGAGGTTTGTGGGGACGGTTTCCTTAATCGAATGAAAGGTCTAAGGGCAGAGGGCATTGCATCCTCTGCAGATTGTAAAACCCCTTGAAGCAAATTTGTGATATTGGGCCATCTAAAAAAATGTACTTGATTTAAAAGTCCATGCTGTAAAATTGCCAAATGCTGCCGTGAGGAAAATTTAGAGTTGTGCCTTTTATAACCAAAAAATCTAAATCAACATTTGAAAACTCAACCTCAAAATCATGAGATATTTGAGTTTTAGGGTAGGTGGTATCAAGTTATGACTGAGTATGTTATGACACTGTGAGCTAATAGAAAAAACTCCACACTTTTGATTTTTAAATAATAGCAATTCTTTATTGTGGCTCTTCGTCAGAAATTTGACATCAACTGATTATAGAGAGGGAACAAGGGTTATATGCTGAAATGGGACACATACTGTACATAGAAAACACAATAAATTACTTCATAATAAAGAATTAAGTAGAAGTTAATATTTACCATCTCAATACTTAAAAATATTTTAGAGCTGGACTAGTTTGGACAAACAAATGGCTTGTCACCCTTTCAATAGTTGCCTTTTGGTTTCATCTCCAGATGCATTGTCATACAGTACATTTTAGCAACTACTACATTTTTTTGGGAACAAGGGGTTTTGTAGTGCAGCAGGACAGTGCAAGAAAATTAAACTCTTGTGGTTTTGTCATCTGAATACACGTCAACCAGAGCTGATGACATGACTACAGGTTCTGTTGTGTTTCATTTGTCTGATGACAAAAGCACACAAGTTAAACTCGTCTCCAGGGGCTAAGCATCTGCTTGTTGGGTGCACACACTAAGCCCAAAAGTGCATTGTAGCTTGTCTCATTAAGTTAAAATACTTGACTCGAACTGAAATGGTAATCAGCAGGTTCTGCTCTTTGTGTACGCTCACTCATTGTCTACTTTCTTAGGCACAGAAAAATGAACAAGGCACCTCTAACATTTTGAAGCATTAGCACTGTCAAGAGCAGCAAATTAAACACAGTAGCATTCAGGTCTCTTCTATTTTTTTCCTGCACTCTCAAGCATACGGTACCCTTCTTGTCAGTGTAAAACAGGTCTTGACACAGAAATACAACTCATTCTCTTTTTAGACATTCATTATGTTATTGTGAAAATGTGCTTTCCCCCCATAAATTAACTAAATCTTACATTCTGTCAAAGACCCCAGGGAAACTTCACAAATGAGTGCGTTTGTGAGATGCCAGTCAATTTGTTTTCACTATGGCAACAAAACAGCACGAGAAACATCATAAAAATACCTTCTCATTACCTCATTACCTTCGCTGAACACTAAGGTAATGTGATGTAAAACAAGTAAAAGAAAAAAATAAATAAAACATTCAAAGCTACATCTCAATCACCTTATGTCACCACCTGAGTACATCTTTAAGTTCCTGGGCTGTCTCCTGATCCCGCTTTGTGCGCTAGGTTGTGGAATGTTTTTAAGGTTAAAGGTCAGGGGACAGTAAGCAGGGAAGTTGGCGCTAAGGAGGTGTAGGTGGGGCGGTGGCCGAGCTTGGGGGTCAGGGAAGGTGAAAAGGAGTGAGGGAGGAGGGGGGGGTGTGTGTTTTCAGGTAGGGTGCTTGGGAAGATGTTGCAGGAAGTGATGGCATGTTCCTCAGTCTGCCCTGAACTGTCTCCCCACTGTCTCACCTGCTTCAGGCATGAAGAGGGCATCAGCTAACGCTTAGCTGTGCAAAGCCGATCAGCTTCACCTCGTCCGGGATCTCCATGTCGTCGCAGCCAGAAGCCTGCGTGAGGAGGAAGACATGGTGAGGGTCAACGTTGCTACTTCGCATCCTGACACTCTCATCAACATCAACAACACTAATCCTGCAAAAGCTCTCGACCCGCTGTGGTGTTACACCCTGGATTCAACAAGGGATTGAAACAACTGCAAGTTAATTACTTCCCAAAATGTGGATTTTTCCAACAAGATTCTTATTTTAAAAAACTCAACAAACAAACAAATACAACAATGAATTGATCCCACCATCTAATCGTGTGTATAGCCAAAGCCTGAACAATCAATTATCTCCTGTTAAGCAACATTTTCTAAAAACCACAGCACCCAGCTGTTTTAGGAACGTACGTATATTTCTATCAAAGTATGAAATGCATTTGGAAACTATTATTTTATTAGTTATTATTTATAATTGATAACAGTTATTACTTAAAGTAAGTATTGAGAAATGGAAGCGTGACTGGTTTTGGTCTTTTCATGAGTATTATTGACAATGACAGAAATATAAAATATTGCAAGCATTATTTTCGAACTATCATTTTTAGGCCGTGCATATTTTAATGATATTGTTCTAAAAGGTTTTTAAAAATTGCAGACTTACAATTGTATAATGTCAGTGAGTGTTTTTTAATGTGGATGGTAACATCTGGCCAATAGCCAATCTGCTAAGTTTTAGTGCTATGTCAGCAGAACCTTATCCGGTCACAACATCGCTATCGTGCAGTTGGATTAAATGTGTAAATAAAACATTTTGAAGTTTAAGTGCTTGGATCTCTGCATATCTGTACATTTATATCACTTATCATATATCATCAAACTGTATGTATCATACAAACAATCAATACGTCTACTTTTGGTCAGGGGTTGCTTTTCATGGTTTGAGCTCGTCTCCTTAGTTCCAATGAAGAATTCTTAATGCAAGAGTATACAGGTCTTATCACCCAACATCTCTCCCTATCTTCTCTACTCCTGGCTGGATGGGAAAAACCCAGGAATGGATCCCGTTATTGCAGCAGAGTATTATCCATGATTTTGCAATAAAATGTTCAACGATCACTCATGGTTATAATGTTCAAAAAGGCTGTAACTATGTTGAGGTGTCTACATATATTTGGCCATGTATTGCATCATCCCTAAACTTACCAGCTCCCAGTGAAAAAGCACAATATTTATTTTACCCACAGTTCAACCTTCCAGCACCTGCATCTCACCCCAATTTCAGGCAGCTTAGATGCAATTCGCAGAGGCAATATTGAAGGCAGTGTGCATTTAGATCTGTTGAAGGAAGTTTTTCTTTCTCATTCAGCTCTCCTTGTGTGGAGAAGCCAGTGTGAATGGGTGGCCTAACACCTGCCGGCCTTTTGCAATTCACACCTGATTGGGGAGAGACGCTCCATCTCTGTGGGGGACTGAGAGCTCTGCAGTTGTCTGATCAACATGGAGGGATGTGAAAACAGGTAGTCTATAGTGACCTCTTCTTCACTTAGGTCATTAAGTTGCTCTAGTGCCACCCACACCATAAATTGCCTGTATAAAGTGTTATGAACGGTCCCCGTGGCGAGGGTAATTATTCACACTCCCTGGGTTTTGGGACCCTGCACTCGTAACTCTAGGTTTAGAAAGCCCCAGTTGAGCCGCAGTGAGGATTTTACAATGTCTGCAGTGGAACAGGGTTAACATATGGAAATGGCAGCATGCCCATATATCTACATGGCGTGCCCCGTACCGGCCTCACTCTGCCTCTCTAGAGACTGGTCCACCGGCAACACTCACTAGCTGCCGATGAGGCAAACATGGCAGAAAGGTAAAGCACTGTGACCCAAAGCACAGCTGTTGTTTACCCACAATCACAGAAAGGTCAATAAGACAGAATTTACATATTTTTGTCAAATCCAAAAGTGACAAAAAAATTGTCACTGTTTTTCTAATAGTTATACAAAGGTGACTTCTTAAAATGGCACATAGGCGACATGCACTGAGTCTTTCTCTGTCTGTGCATTTTGAAAAAAATCTTCTCTTCTGCAACGTTAGTACCAGGGAAAGCCACTGTCATCTAAAAAGCTTCTTTTGAAACGAAGTGTGGATGGAGTTATTTTCTTCACCCGATCCGGTAGCTGGGAGTTTTCTTCAACATAATAGTCACTTACGTCATGCAAAGCTAATTAAGTTTTTTGCTGCAAATTGTCTGCGTGCTTTACTTTGCTTGGTTGAGTTCTGCTTTTTTTGTTCCGCCTACATAACTTAATTAACAACGCCCCCTCCTATTAATAAGTAACACTAACACAACATTCTTTAAATAATTTATGAACTGAAAAGCATTCAGCAACAGATGTTGGTTCATGCTGAAGCCTTTCTAATAACTCAAACCCTCACATTCCTCACTGAACCTTTCATTAAAAAGCTGTTTATTTCTTGACTTTGTCGACCAGGATGAACCCAGGAGGGTTGTCATCAGCCATCAATCATTTGGAAACTCACCAGCTTAAAGGTCAATACTTTGTAGGTAGTTGGGTCATCTACAATCTTCTGAAGGTTCGCAGAAACTGTAATGTAGAGGGCGTACAATAACATTATGTTCAAATAACATCAAACATTTCAGTACATGTTGTACAACAGAAGAACAGAAGTTTAGTGTCACTAATAACACTAGAAGATATTTTTCAACCAAATTAATATATATATACTGTCTTTAGTACATGGGCTGAAAAAGGATTCGTTAATTCTGGCAAATGTTCACTGAATATGAGATGGATTCTTTTGAAGATATTTCTTAACAATATAATATACCAAATAATCATTTTATAGATACTTGCAAATAAGAAGTGATCAAAAAGTAAACAGATACAAGAATATTCATCCACTTTTGAAACATGTCATGAGCTATTACAATGGAACATTTAAAAATGCAATGGCCACTAGAATAAAATCTTACAAGAGAAAGAAGAGACAACAGCTGGGAACACAAATAACCGATGAAGAATGGAAACAGACGTCCAATTAAATTCACAAATTTACCAATTCTTTATTTTGAGAGAATTTGCTTGGAAAATATATATGAGATACTCCGTCACCCCAGAAATGATTAATTTTATTATATTAAATATATAAAAAGATTAAGATTGCAGTGCTGAAAGAACTGTGCGGAAAGTAATACAAATTATTAAACACATTTTGGTTAGATGACCTTTAGTTCATAGAGGGGTATTTTTTTAACAGAAAAACTCTGTATATGAAGCCAGCACATATCAGACTAGGACAACTTCCAACTGCTCTTAGTCAAGATGAAAATAATCTATTAATAATCTCGAGAATTACAGCAATGAAGGAAATGACGAAAAGGGTGGAGAGAAAAAACTAAAATCCCAGATTTAATGAAATAAAAAAGTATGATTCATGAAGTACAACTCATGGAAAAAGGGACTCACATAGTAAGGAATATGGAAGATGTGTTTGAAATAGAGGTGGGTTTTAGATGATGGGAAATTATAATTTCCTCGAGGCACCGGACTAGGAGGTGGAGTTTCAGCCATCTTTAACTCAAGCCTATTAATCAACCCTAAGCCTAAACTAAATTATAACTTACAACATTGTTTGTCTAGTGGGGTTGTTATTTTGTAATTTTTTAACATATTTTCTTTTCATGAATTTTAGATTTGGAAGCAGCTAGCTGCATATATAAACATCATACTAAAAATATATATCTATACAGTATGTATAGATATATATTTCTATATGTATGTATTTCTATGTATTTTAGCTATGTCAGGTTATGTGGACTAATGAAATAAAACGCCATGTCATCTCAGTATGGCAACACAATTCACCAGAATAAAAATGTGTAACATTACCAACTACAACATCAAGCCCGTTGACCAGGCCAGCCGAGATCAGTTCCTGGGAAACGCCTTCAGCTGTGTCTAGTGAGGGAGTAAAATGACAATTAGGCCTGCAGCATTCCCCTTAGAAGGAAATTGTGTTAGATATTGAATTAGATAAAGAGCACAAACACTGCCATTACCCACACAACAATTCACAGCGCCTGAAGATGTTATCACAAAGGGAATAGCACATTTATATCCATATAGGCAGAGCTCTTACCTCGGCCAGGAGTGAATTCAAACCGGATGTCATTAAGCTCCTTTCTAGAGTTCCTGAAAGAAGAGTCAGAAAAGTGTGATTGCACAAGGAGTATCTAAAATGTCAGATATGCATTTTTTGCCGCTCTGTCTATTAACAGCTGACTTTTAATGGGTCTCCTGTGGCAACAAAAACAAGGAGCAACATTTAAAAGACGCAGAGACAAGACTGAAGCTGCAGAACATTAGGAAACAACCATGAGACAGGGGCTGAGTGGAGACATGAAAATTACTATGTGAACTAGCTGAACCTGCATTCAATTATTTTTGTTGGCCACATGGGGGCAGTGGAAACAAGCTGTAAACACAACATTGACATACTATCATGAATTGATGTGGTGAACATGCTGCCAACAGTGGTATATTTACTCACCAAGCAGCGATATTGACATTCATTTTGAGTTGTGTTTGTGTTCACCTAACAAATGGCAGTCTAATATTTGCTCTACTTTAGACGCTGTTTTTGGAAAATGTAATAATAACTGCTACATTTTTGCTCCCCTATGTACACCTGCCAGTCACAATCTTTGTCAGTGTGTCATTTGGTGCTGGACAGGATTTTATTGGTTTGTTTTTTTTTTGCTGGAAAAGGCACTGATAGGAGCTGTGAGAGTGAACTAAAACAGTAAATTCACTGGCAAGAAAACCAAATAAATGAGCTGAAAGGCACTAAAATGCTCCGAAGAGATGATGTCACTACCAGCTACTCCTTTCATGTCACACAGTCAGTTTGATTCATTGTTTGAAATAGATGTGAATCACCTTTTTACAATGATTAGGTAAATGAGTTGCCACAAAAAGGTAATGGACATTATACTGAAAATTAATTTTTCCCCACTTTGTAAAGACAATATTGTCCCCTATTGGGAAAAGGTGCTGTAGCACTGGATGAACAAACTACAGAGAACATGCAGAAGACATGTCTGAGTGGTTTTCCACATACTGAGCTGTATAAAGGTGACAGCTGTCTAACTGCTTTTCCTGCATAACTCACACCTGCTGCATCCACTGAGATAAAAGAGGAGATAAAAAAGTTACTGTAAACTAAACTCAAAACTACTGTACATGAAGAACTGCAGGAAATGTTGGCATCTGCTTATCTGAGTGCATTTAACTGTTCAGAGTGTGTGCTCTGTGATTCTGTGAAGATTAGATGCGACTCAATGGGATTTTAGTTTTTACATAATGCTATAATGTAGCTGCAACTGTGAGGTGGTACATCGTATCCTCAACCCTAGACTGCAGTAAAATGTAAAAAAAACAAAACAGGCCCGTATCAATCCAGCTTGCTTGATTGCATCAATGAAATGTGCCCTGCAGCCTCTTTGCAGCATCAGCTTGCATTCATTTGCATCACTTGCATTTGAAATCTATCTTCAGAATTTGTGTGTGACGGGGGAGTAGCCGGGTGCTGATAAATGCAGGACGTGCAGTGCTGCCCAAAAGAAGTGTGGCAGGAGAAGATTAATTTGGTTTGTAGGTTAAATAAATCACACGGCCAGCCTACAACTTTCAGTTGAGATTAGAGCCATAATTCAACACATTCATAAGTAAAGACATATCTGCAATGAGGTTGTTAGTAGAAAGTCTATACAACACGGCGGGAGTGAGAATTTCATATCAGCTTGGCTTTTTTTTCGAGAGTTGCATTTTGAAAAAGAAAAAAAACGGTAAGCAGCAGTGGAGCAGATGGACGTAAACAACATTTATTTTCCCAGGAGAAGAAGCAGAGGGTGCACGTTGCCAAGGCTGTCAAGGCAACATGTATGGAAATAGGATGAAAATCTTTCCCAAATAAATCATGACTATAATCTGCATCCTTTTTAAATACCACTCTGAAGAGGGAATGTTTCTTTCAACAGCAGTAAAATTAGCATTTCACCCACCAACCCAACATTTTAGTTTTGACACATTGTGAGCTGACTTGCGTTAGTATGTGAGATGACTGGACAATGACAGGTTTATGACAAATCATTTTGAATGAAAAAGGTACAGCGTGATCATTCTGCGTTCTCACTACGAAACATGTCTGTCCTTTTAGGTAAAGGCTTCAAAAAGCATTTAATTGGCAAACAATCTTTTAAAATAGTCCCACATGTACACCAGGTATATGGTTTGTCAATACATCCCAGACATGCATTTGCTGGCTGTCACAGAGGTGGCCGTGGAGCCAACTGGGATTTTCAGGCAGGAAAAATAAATATATCGCAGAAAAATGCAACACACAGATGCCCTACTGTGTTGATGCACAGCTTTACTCCACACTTCATGTCACACTGACAGAGAGGCAAATTTCTTACGCACACTAACAAAACAGTTAATATAGAGAATCCACTGTTATGACATGAAAAAGTACCTAAATCTCATATCTTAATAGCATATCACATGGCAGAAAGCATACGAAAAGGAATACGTTCAGGCAAGCAATTATATGCACTAATTACAGATTAAATCCAGGTTTTGCACAGATAAAAAAAAAGTTTTGTACTTGCAAAAAACTGTGTGTTGAAACATTAAAAGGGAAAAGGGAAGCAACTAACCCTTACTGGTAAAGCTATATTTTAAGGATCAATAATTTCCCTATATTTTCCTTATCATTTCCAAGCATCTTCCTGGAAAGAACCATGGTATTTGTTATTAATTATTGGAAAAAAATCCTCTAGTCTCTCAACTATCTATTTTCTTTAGTGAAAAAAGATATGACAGATGAAACCAGTCACGACATAGCTAAATACATTGGGTGACGTGATATCGGAGCCATGTTGTGGTATTTTCTTTGTCACCTCTGTATTGTCTTTATTTCTTTCATTTCCCATTTTCTTCTCAATTTGGATAATACCTTTACTTATGCTGCGTGAGACAGGGGTTTCCCGTCTTTAGCCGCCCCCAGGCACTGGAGAGGAAGCTGGCTGTCAGAGGTCACATCCAGTTAATTAATTCTAACTAATTGCTGGCGGATCCCGAGGGTTTATAGCGAATGAGGGATCATGGACTTGTTATTGTACTAGCAGTGAGATGGCAGCAAGCTGTAAACTTCAGGCTAATGTCTGACATTGCAGGCACCAACCTTTCTCTAAAATTGATCAAGAATCTATTTTAGGAGCTACTATGACATAATTATGTCGAGTTCTAGTTACCCTATTACATAGAAGAACCTTTAGAAAACATGTAAGTGTCACCTCCAGACTGAACTGCTTCGTGAAATCAATTTGCAGCTGTGCTATTTTGGCCATTTAAGCTCCAATGACAATGCACCAACAGCAAGCATATTATGCAAGTCTGAACTTCTCCTTCAAACTGCTGACTACACTGTTCTCAGGAGACCTCGGTGCCTTTGTAAAAAAAAAAAAAAGGAAAAAGATTGAATGAGTTCCAAGTTAAATGTTGACAAATATCCAATCATGCTGCTGATCCCCCATTTCCGCTACAGAGGGGATCGTATTACCATAAATTCATGCTAATCAGCTAAACTCCCTTATCAGAAGAGAGTGGAGACAATCTAGCTGTTTATTTTGCTCTCTCAGATGCAATTATTTTCATGGATTCACTATTTAACATTATGATTTTCCCAATTGGGGTTGATTGGTTGTTTTTTTCCCGACTTACTTATGTGTTAGTTTTATATCTTACCTGACAACTGACGACCTGACCCAGATGTTAAAAAACATTAGAGAAACCCGGCAGCAAAAAGTGCTTTAAAGGGGACAGTTCCCCCAAAAATCCAAAAAAAAAATCTTTTCTTACCTGTAACACTATTCATCAGTCTAGCTTGTTTTTGAGTGAGTTGCCTAGTTTTGGAGATATCGGCTGCAGAGATGTCTACCTTCTCTATATGGCACTCGGCTTGTGGCGCTCAAAACACCAAATAAATTGCAAAAGAAACAGAGAATTATATTTCTTTTGTCTCTTTCTAATGGCCATCAAGGGGCAACTCCTCTGCTTGCAAAAGGTCTTTGAAAAAGTAACCTTAAATAAAGCATGATGTTCATTTCGTAAATTTTGGTCCAAATTAGATGAGTTGTACGTATCTTAAAACTTTAACCCTTTCACGGTGTGTTTCAATTCTAACCGTTTTGGTCACATAAAAATGTCTTATTCAGCGTTTGATTTGAATTAGCTCCACCCTCTCGTGTCACTTTGCAAAAAGCCATGATGGCAAACTCAAGGCGTCAGAACGGCGGCCCACAAACCAATGGGTGTTGTCCCAGTGACTGTGTCTACTTCTCATATGAGAGAAACTAGCAAGAGTAAGCTACATTTTAAAAATTGTCCAACCGAAAATCTAAGCCCAGTGTTGCCAACTCTTTTTCTGATGACAGCTAGCAGCACTAAATCCAAAAGTTGTCAAATCTAGCACTATAGTCGCCAAGTTGGTAACATGAAAGTCTGTCCCTTCCGGCCTTGTTTCCAAGGTTATTACTATGAACGTAAACATATCAAAATGACAACAAACATGGCTATTGTTAGTAATCATTGTTAGGCTTATTGCAGCACTGTGACAGCCGAAGATATCAGATTTCTTTGTTTTGTCAGAGCATATCATTTGTTGATTGTTGTTGGGATGTAAACAACAACAAAAAACATTTCTCAAATACAGCATTCTATTCGTGACCATATATCTCTTGTTTGTATTTCTGCTGCTCAGATGGTTGTAACTTTGTTGGTAGTACAAAGAACAGCATTTGCAGGATAAATTGTACACGAGGAGAGGCTTGATATTGATGTTATTAATCCGTTCAAAAGGTTTTTTGTATCTTGCTGCTACTTCAAATATAATATGATGTTCTTTCAACTGTATTACTTTTAGTCAAGAGGAATACAAAGCATAATAGGAAAATCCTATCCTATATCATACTGGAGAGCATGTCCAAGAAGAGTGCATAGTGAAAGGCCACAATAATCCACCAGGGCATATATTAGCCTTTGAAAACCTCATATGTTGAAGAGTAAATGTGATCAGGCTTCATGGCTTTACATCTAAGAAGGCATCCATCACATGTTTGCATCTCTAATACTGAATATTCCATCTGACAGACCAGAGAGATGATCTGACAGCCTAATCCTGGGATTATATTAAATACAGTGAACGCATTTCTCTGTAGAAATTAATTCATTTTCCACCCAATTCTGCTTTGACACCTTTTTAAAAACTAATTCTGAAGTTAACAGGACAACAGTATTTCTTTTGTTTTGTTTAATACAAGCTGCAATGGGAGTTAATGTTTTAATTGTAGTAATTGATACAATCACATCTAATTTGCATATTGTGTTTGAGCTACCCAATCCACAGATTGAGCAAATGCAATTAAATCCATGAAACTTAAAAAGACCAAACCATCAAAACTGACAATTCATTTTAATCACCAGGTTAGAATAATGACTCTTCACCAGCCACCAAACAGTGAGCTGCCCCCTGTTGCATGCCGGCAGAGTGTATTTCAGATGTCTGTTCGACCATGAGTGTGCTCTGCGACCAGCTCATCGGAGAAATACAGGCAACGCTACTGTCAAAAAATGCACTATTGTCTGTGTGTTGAACCCCTAAAATGTGTACAGGAAGTGTCCACATTGATCATTCTGAGGCCAAATCACAAGCCTCCACTTTTCCATTAAAATGTATTCGTGAACAGTAACGCCTGGGATACTAAAGCAAGAAGCAACGCGTGCTATGAAAGAAGGAAAGCAGATTGTGGAGCACAGCCAGAAAAGCAATGGAGTGTAACCCACTCCTCCCTACAACACAACCGGTGAGGCAAAGTGAGATGAAAGGATCCATGACTATGCCAGATCCCCTCTCTAGCAGGCAAAGATCATTAGGTCTATTAATGGCCTGCATGTTTAGCACAAAGCGAAGTGATGATTCGTGCAGAAACATAATAACTAATTTTATGCATTTCAGCTTATACTCCACAGAAACAGCGAAGATTGCCTTGTGTATCAACCGATGATTGAGAAAACGATCTGAAAACAACTATCTGTCTCACCTTAGCCGTAGCACCATGTTCACAGCACCTTCAATGTAGGGTCTGTTCCCGTACGGTTCGACCTGCACGAGAAAACATCTGATGATGAGGCAGTTTGCGTGGCACACTAATGGACATCGAGATCAGACCAACAAAAACATTTTAAAGAAGCTTTAGGCACAGCTTGTACTGCATAGAAAGAGGTTCTGTAAGATGAAAATATAGTCAGAAACACTTTTTAATGACGGCACACTGTGCCCATGTGGTTTATTTTTCTGAAAAATGTCTCATGTTTGTCGCAGCTGCAGGAAAAGTTGTTTGGGAAAAGAAAAGGAAGAATACATAAGGGATGATAGCGATACCTGGGCTTTGGATATTGGCCAATAGCGAGCAACGATCTGATACCAGTGTTGACTTTAACATTGCATTTCTAACTATGTAAAACAAAATGTAACAAATAAATACTATAGATACAAATGTACTGAATTGTTATATATTAAGATAATGGTGTCCAATACCAGATAAGCCTCCGGCAAAGAATGGACTTTAGGGGTAAGAAATGACGGCTGAGTAACTGTCTGACTGGAGAACAGGACGACACCTCAAACTGCTTTGGCTTCTTTTCAAAAAAAGACGACAGCCTCAGAAAATAGGTTGCAATGGCAGTGAGTCTTTAGATGAGATACACTCAGACACTGAGTTGGCACAGCCAGGCAGACAGCCATTTACTCTGAGTTACTACTGCTGAGAGCATCCCTCCAGGAGACCAACATTCATACACGTACACACGCACATATCCTCCTACCTACACGCATGCACAGACAGACACACACACACAAGCACAGCGCAGTATGCACACCCACGGACGTACACACACACACACAGGCAATCACTGTGGCATCAAGGTCGTTGAATCATGACAAATTAGTGCTGCTGCAGAATCCCTCACCTGGGGATGCTGAATAGACAACCCTTCAATAGGGACATTGTTGGCATTCTCCTCATTCTAGGAGGAACATAATGAGAGGCATTATTGTGAAAATGCTATTACATCCTTGGTGAAAAGCAATACAAAATGATATATATATATAAATATAATATATATATATATTTAAAAAATGTTGGAACAGGAAAGTCATCTCAAAATAATCCACGAGGAGCAATTTGCTGGCTTTGTCAGACTCTCTAAAACAGGTGCTTGACTGTTTTGATTAAACTGTATAAAAGTGTGTGTGGTGCAATAAACATTCATAATTAAGTTCATTATTCTTAGACAAGCGTCAGCCAAAGTAGGCAATTTAATTGCATTTCCAAAAATACCCTTCTGCCAAGATATCAAGTTATACAGCAGCAGAAAGGATAAGGCTTATTTGTCTACTTGACTTTTAACCAAAATACAAAAACAAGTATTTATATTGCTGGTTGCATTTTAAAATTGGTATATGAGAGAGCTAACTTACATCTTTGGCCTCATCTCTGACCCTTCGTGACTGGAGGGAAAAATCAAACACACATTTAGATTGTTTTATATCACACAGCAATAATAATGACTTATTTCCTTTTTCAGTTTCTCAATGGGCAGAAATCTTGTAAAACCTCGGTTTTTATATATTTGTTTCTCCAGCTTTCAGTCCAAAACTTTTTTCCGCTTTTCTTTTTTTCTGAAAAAATAACAGTACAACTGCTATCATCAGAAACAAGCCTGTGATCGATGAAAAGAAACTAAAAACACAACCTTGTAAAATGCTATCATCCACAACGTAGAACATCTTAAACTTCATCTTAACTTCTGGTAACATGTGATTTGTTGCATCACACGTTAAAGCTGGGAATCTCTATCAAAGGGCTCTTTGATCATGGCTGCCTACTTCCTCCTGTCTCAAATCCTTGCAGCTATCCTCCAGCTCATTACAGCGACCTTATGACAGGCTCTCAGAGTTAAGCCATCTGCTCTCCCAAAACAAAAAAAACATACTGATCAGGGAGGGAAGGAATGTGCAGGTTCAAAGACAGAGGGGAGGCTACATAACGTACGGGTAACAACACCTTAACTACTCAAAGTGTGAATATAAATGTGCATGTTGTAGTTCTGTTACAATGACAAATGAAGCTGAATCTAAAAAATAATCTCGATGATGAATGATGTGTTATAAAACTTAATAACACTTGTTAATTTGAAGATGACTATAAGAATCCTGAGTAAATATGAAAGAATATACACTGCTGAGGCTGGCCTTGGTGGAGTCCCACTCACCCTGCCCTGATTCACCGCGGCTTTACCCTCCTCACTGCTCTCGTCCAGCTCGTCGTCGCTCCACTCCCAGTCTCCATCTTCTGTCTTGTGCAGGTGGCCGCTGGAGCCTGGGACTCTCCGCACCTGGAACGTGACACACAGCCAGCACACTTAATGACGTCATTCGTAGTTATTAATTGAACACGTATGTACATTGTGGTTTACCCATGATTTTCGTAGCCCTTAAATTTAGAGCACTGGAACCCCTGTGATGAGCGGAGAAAAACAACTGGCAACCCCAGCTGCATGTTTGTAACATAAGTTTATTTGCAAAGACACATTCAACTCACTGAGCCTGTTTAATAAATCTGACTGCAACATATTGCTGCCGCCAAAGAATCTGGCCAGTTTCTCGCTATTACTACATACCAAATGATGCAGATTTTACAAAAACAATGTCTTGTTATTTCACAAAATCTACAAATATTATTGAAAAAAACATGTAACAAGGTAAATGACATTGTAGCCTACATCGGTAAAGATAAAGTGTTCTGTTAACAAAAAAAGTTTCTTTTAAAATGAAAATAATTTGTTATGTATAGTAATAATTAAAAAATATCTCTTAACAACATAAAACATATTGTAGGTTGAATATACTATTGGTTCATTTTCAAAGGTGACTGGTATGAATGTCATCACAACATTGGTGGTATACACTTTGCTGACATACAAAACTGCTCAGTACCACAATAGAAACCATACAGTTGCTTTAAGTAATTGGATCAGTTTAGTAGGCTCAGCTTGGGTACAGCACAATGAGTACAGCATAGTACAAGGAACAACTCCATAAATCAGAGTCATTGGTAAAGCCTGTGACTTGTTGCAGCTCTACAGTCCGGAGGAGTTTGTAAGGCAAGAAAAACGTGACTAGTGTAGCAGTATGAGGTAAGATAAGAGAACACCAGCATTGCAGAAAAGACAGCATATATGTAACTGTAAGGGTCAGGGTATATAAATGCCCCAGCGTTAAACTGAGTTAAAGTTGAAGAAGCACTAACGCTGTGGTACTGTCAGGTTATTTTTCCAAACCAGACATAGAGCCAAGGTTCCCCCAGTCCTTCTCAGGGTCCGTAAGCAAAACAGACACAGATCAATGCACCCAGCAGCCACACATGATCACCAGACCGACACCAAACACGCAGCTAACAAAATCATCCCACTGTAAAATGTATGGAAATGTGTTTGAGTATGAATAGAAACGTTGTTCAGAATGTGAAAGTGTTGATAAATGCTGATATCAGGATTTGCAGAGAACAATAACTGATGATAACTGAGCCCCCTTCAGGTAAAATGCCCTGTATTTGAACTCAAGTTTCAAGAGGCTTCCATACAGAACTTAATCAGTATTCCACAATGATTTGTACACTGGACCATACATTTGGACTCAATATCAATCCTTTTATAATTTCCAACTTTTCATGAAGTAACAAATCATTTATTCAAGCCCACATTGGTTGTAAGCCACAATAAAGACTGTATTGTGGGTGTCAGGGTGCCCTCTGCTGGTTACTCAACTCACATGTACCTAGTTCATAACTTCATATTAAATTACTCTATGATGTTTTTTTACAGTCATATTTCAAATAGAGACTATTTCCTGTATTCCTCACGTCCGTCATGTTTTCAGGGAAACCATTCCTGCGTTTCTCCCTCCTTTTCATACAAGTATTCATTTCAAATTACTTTGTTGGTGACAGCTGACCGGAGGATCTGTCATCTCCTTTTCATTCAATAATCAAGGAGAAGTTGGGTATCATTTAAAGTGTGGTTATGTATCAGCAGTCTGGCTCTGCAAGCTTTGGGTAATGTTTGCTTCATGAATAAGGTAGATGACTCCGTAGGTCAAATCAGCACAAAACAACAAGGTCAGTGGCTCTGTGGCTCGTACATTTCATCCACCGAACATATCAAGTGAACCAGGCATTACCTGGCTGGATTTACTGTCACGCATCAAAATAAAGTGTATTGATAACAGTAAGCGTTCAGCAATTGTGCATTTCCATTTTGGGCTAAAATGACTCCACAGCATACAGTGGTGTATAAAGTACCCAAAAGCCATACTTGAGTAAAAGTAAAGATACCTTACTGGAAAATTACTCCAGTAAAAGTAAAAGTCACCTATTAGAATACTACTTGAGTAAAAGTCTTAAATTATCTGATATTTATTGTACTTAAGTATCAAAAGTAATTTTCTGATATTAAATTTACTTAAGTATTGAAAGTAAAAGTACAAGTAAATGCTGTTAATAAAAAAGCAAAGGGTCAGAATTTTGAGAATTATGAAGTTGATTCTTTTAAGTGCTGTGGCCACCAGGACCAAGGACATGGAGCTGTGTTGACAATAATTGGGTTGGCTGTGATCCATCCAGGAGCAACAATGTTCAACATAATATATTGTACATAAGTATACTTTTTCATCTACTATGAACTTATCATCATAATTCTCCGAAAAGCAATATGACACTATGAAGGAGTTGTAACAGTGCGTTTATAAGTATCCTCATTCCGACTAGAGGATGTAGAGGGCAAATGCATAATGTTGTGTTCAGCAAAATATATCCACTTGATGCATCAGGTCAGTGTTGTGAGAAAGGACGCCTGCCTTGTAAACTCCTATGGGCCTGAGTTGAACACAATAGGCAAAGGTTTTGCTCAAGCTGAATCTGCAATTGGGCGACTGCTCCCATCATAACTCCATCTGATCATCCACAAAATGACTCAAATATCAAAACATGATCAATACTAAAGCAGCACCGAAAGTAACAACCCAGTCATTACTTGAAACTGAAAAATGTCCTGTTCATCTTCAAAAGACAATTCTACTACAATGTAGCTTCTTTACATTCTAATAGAATGTAAAGAAGCTACATTGTATCAGAATGTAACTTCTTTACATTCTATTAGAATGTAAAGAAGTTACATTGTATCAGAATGTAACTTCTTTACATTCTATTAGAATGTAAAGAAGCTACATTGTATCAGAATGTAACTTCTTTACATTCTATTAGAATGTAAAGAAGCTACATTGTATAGAATGATTCTATTGAAGTTATTCCATTTTTAAATGTTTTAGACGAGTCACTAATCACTTTAAAAGAGTGATTATAGCTGATTTAACTTACAGACATGAGATTGAGCTTCTCATGTCACTCTCTTTATACAATGATATAAATTCATCCCGGTTTTATTGATATCTTACGAAAAGTTACTCCTCATTTTTTGTGCGTTTTTCCTGCAAAAGTCCAGCAACATGAGTCAGTTTTCGCTTGTTACATGCATACTGTCTTTTCAAAATAAACTTCCATCTTCACAGGAAACAACTAAGGTTTAGGCGATGAAACTACTTAGTTGGGTTTAGGAAAAGATTGTGGTTTGCGTTAAAATATCTACGGAAGTGGAGTTGCTTAAGTACGGAAGTCACGTCACAAATAAATCAACATTGGCTTCTCGTTTCACGCACGGCACAAACTGCGGCCTCCTGGAGGAAACAGCAGTGTTTGTTTGACCCATCCACCTCTCCTCATCCCACCCGTCCTGTGTGGAATTCTACTCGTGTTGTCGCTCGCTAGCTTTAGCATATAGCATCCTGGGCATCACTGGGAATCAAAACACCGCGGCTTTGAGAGCACTTGTTTGCAATTGCGCATTAACGTGATTAACCAATGATTTAACTTGCAAGCTAGGACCACTGATTCACCAAACCTGCTTGCTTGCAGTCTGTGTTCCACCACAGTCCCCGACGCTGGTCTCATGATTCATTTTTCTCTAAAGATAGATTTGATTTTGTAGCGAGTAACGAAGGTTTCAGGGGAAATGTATCGCAGTAAAAGTATCAGTTTTCTTTGCAAAATGTAGTGAAGTAAAAGTAAAAGTCAACAGAAATATAAATAGTAAAGTAAAGTACAGATATCCAAAAAAACGACTTAAGTACAGTAACGAAGTATTTCTACTTTGTTACTGTACACCACTGACAGCATATAAGTTCTACTTGTAACAGTGCATTCGCAAAGCGCCATCGTTTTGGATCCAATCTCACGTCGTTTGATTCAGAGATGTAAATACAGTCCAAATTGTGGTAGCTGTAATACACATAAGTGCCTTTCCATTCACTGTAGTGACTGCTCAATGTGCCTGTAGTTACCGCTTTACCCATCAACAAACCTCAACATCATTGTGCCACTCCCACAACAGTTTGCCTCCCTCTTTATTGACACCCTGTCCTGTCTGTGCGTAGCATTAACGTCATACACAGTAGGAGCCCTGCTATCCACTATGCCCTCCATTTACTCCCCAGCAGTCAGTGAATTTCCACCCCTCCACGTGGCCACTCTCGCCTTCCGGCAACGGCCCTCTGATCCCATTCCTGTCCTGGGCATCCAGGCAGAGTGTTAAGTGAAGCCAATATCAGCTGTGCCTGAAAACTGCACTTCCTCCCATTACATTGTGACCAGTGGGCAACTGAAGCAAGCAACCTTGACAATAGAGTGCTCCTTTGTTGTTATCTAATGTTATCAATTAATTTAATCCTGTTTGTCTTTTAGTGTGCCACATACAGAGAGCTGCACTGAGAGCTACTGATGCAAGATGTAAGTACATCTATGCCGTTTGACTCTCCTGCTGCTGTGGCCCATATCTTTACATAATCTACACAACAGTTTAGGCACAAAGTGTTTTAAGGTGCTGAAGAAAGTCAAGAGTGCGTAGCTTTGTGTTGACTGTAAATGCAACACTCTGGTGGACTTCAGTCGATCCCAGCACTCTGCCATAATTTGTTCATGTTTAGTCAATAACTGAGTTATTTTACAGGGACTGTTTGTGTAAACATACCTTCTTCGCTCTCTGGGAAATCTTTGGGGCGCGACACAAAAGCTTTTCAACCAAATATTCTTTGTTCTGCAAGAGAAAAAATACAAATACAAATCAAAATATCATAATTTAAATTACTGAATTGACAGATTAAATGAATCAACACCTAATGATGAGTCACAAAAAATCTAAAGTGTTCTGTTTTGAAGTATATTTGCTCTAAAGTTTGAATGGTGTATGAACGTTTGAAGGTTAAGTTATCTCTTTAAAATGTTCAAAGTTAGACCAGAGACTAAAGCAGTTTGAATGGAAACAATCCGGTGAGGTTGCAGTACTAGATCCTGCTAGATCCTAGACGATACAGATAATTACTCTATTTTGCATTAATGATATTCAGCTTTTGAAAAGCTTTTCATGCCTCTGAACTAGAACATCAGGACACCCTTGTAAACCGTTATGATCAATTACTGACGAAGACGTAGACAATAAGTTTGCACTACAAGCGACAATAGCAACAAAACGGCCAAGTGTTGCTCGGACGGAACGAAATAGGGTGAAACAAAAACATATGATTGGTTGACGCTTCACCACCAGTAGAGACCAGCTCCGCTTTGATTGGTAGCGTGTCACGCCCGTCACACAGCGACAAGTGTTGAGGGTCAGTTTATAGTTTCATGTCACCGGCTTCCATTGAAAGTGACCTCTAGATTGTTGTCATGTCGCTCGTAGTGCGAACACAGTAAAATATATAGAATTGAGGGAAAGATTTAAGTTTTCCTTTTACCATCATTATTTCTACAATAGTATATGATGACAAATACAGTGTCCTTGTACACTTTGTACACTGTATGATGTATCAAAGTAGGTACAACCATCATAAACTTGTCAAAAAACTTGTCAACATACAGGGTTAAATCATTGTTGGAGTTGACATGAGGCCATAAGTGAAATAACAAAATAACAAAACCTTCAAAGATGGATAAAACAAATACCTTGGCCTTTTGGAATAATTTACACTTCAAAAGCTCTGCGGCCGTAGGCCTAAAGATAGAGAAAAGTACACTGTTGAAAATACATCAAAACACAGCTCTCTCTGAATGTTAATCAGGTGCTTTTCATTGACCACAACTTGCATCAGCTCTCTTCACTGAACTATTTGGTTGATTTGTGGAAAGTGGCGCTAACCTTTTGGCAGGATCCTTCTGGAGGCACATAGTTATTAGCTTTCTAAACGATTTGCCGTATCTTTTTAGCATTTCCTTGTCTTCTACTCCCGTCTCTAGAGTGGGCGGATCATTCTGTAGGGTAAGCATTAAAACCTGAAGGACAAAATAAGAAATGGTCAAAACCTCATCCCTCACATTTCAGCAGCAACACAAACATTGTAGATGAGGAAAATAAAGTCAAAGCAGGAAACTGTAGAAGAAATGTTGTGGAAAGCAAAAGCAAAGGCTTCCTTTAAATAAAAGGTTGCCTCTTGATTAGTTGCTTAGCTTTTCCAATTTGAGGCAAACGAAGCACGTCTGAATGTGTCTCTCCACATTTTGTTCTTTGCTAATGATGAAACTTCACAGAAACAAGTTGGTTTAGAGGAAAGTTTAGTACGCCATGAGTTCATGGGCACTGCTTTCTTCTTTCCTTTGAGAGTGCTGCTGAAAGCTACAAAAATAGCTGTGATTAGAACACCACACTGATTAAATAACACCTTATAATAACATCCAGAACACTCACCTTCATGGGAGGGTAGCGGTGATAGGGTGCAGAGCCTGTTGCTAACTCTATGGCTGTAATTCCAAAGCTCCATATATCTGCTTTGAAATCATAGCCTCGAACCTGTGGGTGTAGAATTACAATAATCTGTAATATCAAACGCACTTAAATCTCTAGGGCTTCATGTTTGTCGTAATTTTAGTGGTTTATGTATCAAAATAATTCAACTAATAGCATTATAACAAGAAATGGATTTTCGCAAAGCGTAGCAGCAGCAAGCTCAGGCAAACACATTTGGAGTGAGATATGTTGAACTGTGTGACGTCACCAGCAGCTGCCTTTTCGTATGGGTAGAGATAGACTCACCTGTTCCATCACCTCCGGCGCCATCCAACATGGCGTGCCAACAAAGGTCTTTCGTACTTTATTTCTAGTCATATCTCCACCTGTGGCTAGGAATGCGCTTACTCCAAAATCTGAAAATATAAATAAACAACCAACTGATACCTGAATCCAACGGGTATGTCGAAATGAACACGGGCTGCAGTCAAGGCTTTTTTTTTATCCAACATAAAAGAGACAATATATATGTATATAAATTCAAAATTCAGTGTCAGACTACCTTCATGTGTAAACTAATCTAAAGATGAATCACTTTCTTTATTAGTTCCTAAAATCTGTGAATTCAGTTCCATCTTTTAGGCAGTCCTGCTTTTAGTTTGATTAACTTAAAGAAAACCAGAGTACACCAGGAGTATCACACGCTCAACACACCTGCAATCTGAACAGATCCATCTTCTCCAAGTAGTATGTTCCCAGCTTTCACATCCCTGAGGTCAACAAAACACAAACGCAGTCAGACAACAAAGTCACGTGGAGCAGCATTGATTCTTCCGTTCGTGTAAGCGAGTCCCACCACCAGCCCACCACCATCTGGAACTCTGCCCAAGGGGCTGACGGGGGTTTAAGCCTGCCTCTCAGTGACCTTGAAATACAGAGAACACAACCACTGCACTGCTTGCCAAGAAATATAATTACCCAATTTTACATTTTCTTATAACTTTAGGCATTTGTTTGTTCTCTTATCTAGAGAGTGACAACATTTGATATGTTTATACATTCTTACATTTTCCACTGGGATCTTTATTGCTAAGTTGTCTTGAAATGAGTTTCTTAATTCTTACAATAAAACCAACAATCAACAAGTTGTAATGTTAAAAGTGTTACCGGTGAATCTGCCCATTTCTGTGCAGATAGTCCAGGCCTTCGAGGACTTCTTTTAATATAGAAGCAATTATAGGCTCATCGAGCGCTCGATTTCTGTCCTCATCTTTGTTTGTGTGCTTAATTATATCCAGCATAGAGCCTAAAAAAGACACCGCAGAGCAACAAAGACATTCAGTTTGTTTCTCACATATTAACGACAAACACAAAATCACTTGCAACGTACACATCATTACATGATCAATATCCAGGCACACATTATTCAGCTTCTGTTCATTGCTTGTTGTCCTTTAGACAGTGAAACGTAGACGGCAGTAGATTAAAGTGGGTGACATCACTGCTGTACTTCCTTCACAAGTGAGCCCACGTAAGCTATTTACAATAACATGCAACCAAGTCTGTGCTGCTGCTTCCTAATAACTTTAATAGAGACAGTCTGAATGAATACTTTTTAAAGATTTAGATCTGATGGTTTTTTTAGGATATATATATAATGGGAACTAGTGGTTAAATGCTAATTGGACGTCTCTTTTTGATTATTCTTTGCAAACAAAACGTTTCAACAATCATTTGAATCATAAGTACATGATGGTAATTAAAGTAGTCAAAAGACAATTAGCATACAGTGAATGACTGCACCATTTGAGACAAGTATACAGTATAAGGGAGTTATAACACAGACAGCTGTTGTATTGTCATCAGCAGATCAAAGCACAATCATGTATTATCACATTCACTGAGCTTTCATGTATTATCAAGCCAGAGGATAGGATTTGGCAGCAGAAGCTTACCTCCACTCAGAAGCTTCATGACTAACCAAAGTTCATCCTTCACCACAAAGGAGGTGTAGTAGGTGACAACATTGGGATGGTTGCACTGGCTCATTGCCTGGATTTCTTTCTATTGTGAGAGAGAGAGAACAGGATGACATGTCAAATGATGTTAAAATGGACAGTGAACTTGTCTTTTAATCACAGCTTGTACTTTGTTTGTAACGATCTAAAAGAAGCCTTAGCAACAGGACCTTTTACAACAAAGCACACAACCTTCCAGCAAATGATTCAGTACCACAATCCCTGAGGTGTATCAATGAATATCGTGATTCAAACTTACACGGAACAATAATTATACGTATCAGACGAAAAGTAGCAGTACAGCATTCGATAGTAACACAAAAACACCCACTTAGAAAATGAGCCTGTGTTTATTGTACTCACCAATAACTCATCCATGCTGGTCTGGCATTTTTCCAGGTTTATTCTCTTTATGGCGACGCGCTCCTGTCTGGGGGTACAGAGGGCCGCCTGCACCACAGCTGTGGCCCCGCTGCCTGGAATCACAGGTGCAACAGAGTCCAGACAAAGTGTTTAGGAGCAAAGAGGGACTCACGGCACACACAGCTGGAAGCGTACTATCTCTAAACTCTTAAACTCTTGAATTCAGCATCGCTCTGTGGCTTTCTGGTATTTGTCTGGCCCTCTGTTCCTCGGGTGTCGTGTTTATGTTATGGTATTCATCTTTCCTGCATGCTGGCTGACAATGACACAAGCTGACTTTGAGAACAGCACTATTTTTTCTGCAGTGTGACGGGTTGTTTCGTTTACTTGGCTCATTACAAATCAGGCCACGCTAGGGGGTATAGGGAAGGTGTTCACACCAAGAAGCTGTGACACACAGCATATTGCCTTTCCAACTGTTAGTGGTAGACAAGGTGAGAACACATGAGATCTGACTGCCTAACAGTCCATTATGAGAACTGTGATGAGTCTCACCAACTCATCACAGTCAGCAGCACACAGCTGTGGCGCTACTTCTTATCAGTAATGACATGACATGTTAGCTCATTGCACTGTGCAGGCCATGTGCCAAAAATATTCAGGCAACTTCCTTTTGTGCCTTTTCAGTACATTTGAGATTTTCATCGTTGGGTTATTTCGAAATGAATATTTCTAAAAAAAAAAAACAAGTTCACAATAAGACTGGAATTGAGCATTCTGTGATGTATGCTGGGACATAATAACTTTTTTAAACTCCGAAAAAGTTGAATTACAGGAAGAAAACACAAAAGAAAATACTACAGTAGGCTATATATAACTATTTCATAATCTACAGGCGCAACCACAGTCTCCCAAGTGTTAGTGCCAGAAACACATAAAACACAAGGTCAACCCTGATAACAACATGCAGACTGTATATTGTTAAATGGGTTTATTCTAGCTATGTATATGAACCAGTCTTAACAAGTGAGTGATCGTGTGTAAATTCACTCTGCCTTTGACCCATGGCTTTTGTGATTGTAAGAGCTTTTAAACAATAAGTAAATTAATCATTTACAGAAAATGAATCGCCAACAATTAAATAAAAAAGCATAACATGTGTTTGTTGCAGCTTCTCCAATGTAAAGACTTGCGTCCTTTCTCTGTTCTGTATGATTGGGAATTAAATATATTTTTTAGACTGTTGGTCGGACATAAAAGGCACATTTTTAAGACATCACTCTACGGCTCAGTGAAAATGTGATGGGCATTTTTCACTCTTTTTGAACATTTAACAGACTAAAGTATTCATGTGAAAAATAAACCATGGAGTAATAATAGTTTAATTATACATTTAATTATAGTACAGCCCTGCTAGTCGAGTCTCTCACTTTTTTTTCAGGCTTTAAGTTTTAGTGATGTTAAAATATGTTTACTATTAAACTCACTCACTATTAAAACAATTACTATTATGATCATAAACATTAACTATATCATAATTAGACATGTTACATTTGAAACATTGCCCACTTGTCTTGAGTTGATGGGAAAGGCTATTTAATTCTGTTATCACAGACAACACAAGTGAAATAGCACATTGTGAGCTTTACACAGCATCTGTGATGTTACTAATGGCTAATAAACTGGACACGTGCCATAAACGCGCATCGAGCGGCTAAGATCGCACTGAGTGAAAGAGACATTTACGACCACGTGCAGTAAGCTGCATTTCAACCGATTTGACTTGATCGGGGTCACAAACACAGCTGATGTAGACCGCTGCTCTCTGTTCACATCCGCATTGCAAAGCATTGGAGGAGGCTACTGAATATGAAAAAAAAAAAAAAGCCGGTAGGCCCCTCATCTTCATCCACGGCTGACAACCCGCCGCGTAATGCCTTTCCGTGATCATTTACATCATGCATCGCATCTCCGGGTACTAACCTATGACTTCCTGCAGCTCGTACGACTCCCTGGTAATTGGCCAGCTGGTTGTCAGCGCTGGTTGCGGGTGGAGGACAGGAGCCGGAGCTTCGCCTTGATCCGCCATGATGAGGATGATTCTGCGCCAGCTAGAAGCCTCTCTCACAGACAGACCGACGGAGAAAGGGAGAAAGGGAGCGAGAGAGAGAGAGAGAGAGAGAGAGAGAGAGAGAGAGAGAGAGAGAGTCAAACTTGACCTCACCTCCTCACTACAAATGTCATCTGGCGGCTGCAGCAGAGCGATGAGACACAACCCGGAAAATAACGGACCGTACACATGCGCACGCACACACACGCACACTGTAACGTTACCGCACCAGTGACATGCCAGTTGACTTCACAATGGCCCAATGCCGAAGACTGTATGTTATATACAATATATAATATAATCTTGGGAGACTACCAGGCGATTCAAAGGCACCCTGATTTAAACTAATTTAATTTAATTTATTTAATTTATTGAGCAGCTATTGGATTAAAACACTGCCCTTGGAGTTGATTTATTATTATCAGGTAAAACGACTTGGCAGCTGCTTTGTGTGAGACAGTAATACGTATGTGTGACGATTTCATAATGTCACATGTAGTCAAGACTGCAAGAGACGTTGTCGACACTGGCCAGTAGATGGCGCCACTACCTCTTTATATTGTCTAGTAGTGTATGACGGTGACTGTGGGACAAAGTAGTCACCGCTGCTCCATACTGGACATTTGAGCATACATTGTTGATTGATTCATCGATTAAAAAGTCAATTAGAATATGAATATGTGTTTTCAGAATCAGAACCGTTTATTGACACGTTATGTTGCACATACAAGGAATTTGACATGACGGGTGGTGCATAAAATTAAACAATCAACACAATGCAAAAAGTAGAAACATTTTAAAAATTACAATAAAATATAAAATAAAGTGAAATATAAAATAAAGTGAAATATAATTTCCCAAATTAACATTTTGGAATGTTATTTGTAATTTGTCTGCCATTATACTACAGATTATGAATGTACAATTTAGCAGAAAGTGTACTATATTTTATGATAGTATATATTATATTACTTATTAACATTTAGGCAAATGATTATTCCGTGTTATGTGAGGCATGCAGCATATATAAAACAAAAATAATAACATATATTGTGTATTCTAATGTTTTGTACTGTGCTCGTGGAACATACACCGAGTTGCCAGTTTGCGCCAAGCTGAATCTAATGCAGTTCATTAGAGCAACTATGCAATAAAGCCTACCTTCATGAAGTTATGATATTCAGTGTGTGTGTTAACTGTTTCATGATATTTTGACTTAACGTCAAGGTCATTTTGGAGTATGTAGTTCTGATAAACTGCCTTGTATTGGAAGAAGTTTCTAATTGCGGTTGGAGAAGATATTGCACCTCTCTGTAGAAGTCAATATAGTCCAAGAGCACCACAAACTGTCTGCCTCACTATATATATGTATTTATATGTGTATGTATAAACCTTTGGTTTTCTTTCACTTACAAAACATCAGAATACTAGGTCACATTATTTATGAATCGTACTTCCCGGAGGATCAAACTGTCAGTAGATGGCGTAGTTTGCCAACATGATGTAGTCTGGTCTTGTTTGAAGCCCATTTCTAAAGTGTTGCCATATAAATTGCGTTTACATTTCAGTTTTACCAAAAAAACAAAAACAATTAACGTTTAATTTGAGTTTGGTAATAATAATTAATTAAAGGAGACTTCTCACCTGGTCGGCAGGTCATTGCGCGTTTCCTACGTTAATCTAACAGCAAGATGTATAAAACTATCAAAAGACACAAAACAGGAAAAAAAACATTCATTCTTCTGCAGTCAGCTCATCAGGGAGACGTGAGTGGGACTCAAAACAAACATGATTTACCGGCATAACGCACACCGACTGTACTGCATGACATTTCAACGCACCAATCACTTGCTGAGGAGCTGATTGAGTCTACTTCCCTACACTGGAATAGCTGAGGGGGGAAGCGGGCGGACGGACGGGGATCTCGAACGGATATCTCAACATCAACCGAGTCTGCACGGTCAGATCGCCTGTGAGGGACCTCCGGGATACAGCGGGCCGTCGATTTCTCTTTCCACCCGGTCACGGTGTCCTGCTGCAGGGAGATGGCCGGTATTTTGGCGTGGTTTTGGAACGAGAGGTTCTGGCTCCCGCACAATGTAACCTGGGCTGACTTAAAAAACACAGATGAAGCAACGTTCCCGCAAGCGGAGGACCTCTATCTGGCGTGTCCTTTAGCATTCTGCATCTTTATGATCCGGCTGGTTTTCGAAAGGTGAGTCGAAGCACACGCGATAATAATCCAGGTGGCATGTGATCGGGGGTTTGTTGTGTCGATGAAATATGCTCCCCGGCCGAACGATGCAGCACGCGCCGCTTTCCACGTTTGCCAGTCTGTCATCTAAACAATGGCATCTTATCTGGTTAGCCCACAAATCACCACGGTTGATCACCGTACTTTCTGCAGGCCCCGCAGCATCACGCGCTGTCTTGCATTTGATGCATCTGTCAGAGCACACAGTGCAGCTAAGTTGTCCATACCTGCCCAAATGCAGTTACTGTCCTCAATTTAACCCCCCCCCCCCAATCTCTACAAAGACGCGTGCTGGACAAAGGCTCTGATCCGGGGGGGGTTGTTCTAACTGTCCTGCTACTGTTGTGATATGGTGCACGGTGCATCATCTTATCTGTGACTATCATTGTACAATCATCAGTATACAGTAAAGCACAGAGCCATGCTAGTCACAACAATGCGTGCATATGTGGGTCAGAAATCTCTTGAGGGAGTAGTGAGTGAGGCCTTTAAATTCCCCCAATAAACTCCTCACTAATGTTCGGTATTTACCCCTGCAAATACAGTGTGTTCAAACAAAGTGAAGATAATGTGAAACCGAGATAATATATGAATTAAAAGTGTTAAATCCGTGAGATTAATATATTTATTGTATATTGTTTATTTACGTAGTTAATGACTTGAGTTGCTATTAGCCAAAACAAATGTAATTCATGTGTTTTATCAGAAATTTGCAGACTGCACATGATTTGTTAAATGGCTTATAATGCCAGATGCTTTGTGTCAAAACGACAACAAAGCACACCGCTGTGTCGTTCCCAATTCTTCCTTTATTCTGCGTGGAAATGGCACCGTTTCAACCAAAAATGGTCTTCCTCAAGACGACCTGTGGAAGACCACTTGTGGTCAAAACATTGTCGTGTCCCAGTCGAGTAAAAGAAGAATTGGGAGCAAGCAGATACAGATACCCGTACCCAGCACCTGCAAATGGTTATGCATGTGCTTCCTGTTGATTGGTGTCCCCATCATTAAATATGAACAATTCACATTAAATTAACCTCAAAGATAATGTCTATGCGTTGATATAGAATTATTTTAATTGCAGGTTTATTGCAAGACCATGTGCCATGGGCCTGAAGATCCAAACCAACGGGCCACAAAAAGCACAACCCAACGCTATCCTGGAGAAGGTTTTCACCGCTATAACCAAGGTGGCGCATGTGTTCTCTTCATTCATTTCATTGTTTTTAAAGTTTCATCTCATGACGTTTGTGCCACGTTGAAAACTACATCGAAGATATGGAGTTTTTTTTTATCTTTGTTTCACCAGCACCCAGATGAGAAGAGATTGGAGGGCCTGTCCAAGCAGCTCGACTGGGATGTGCGGACCATCCAGCGCTGGTTCAGACAACGTCGAAACCAGGAGAAGCCCAGCACTCTCGCCCGATTCTGTGAAAGCATGTAAGGCAAATCCCTTTTAACGGCATACAGTATACCCTTACTTAGCTGAAAGCAAGTTAGTGGATATAAACTTGCACAGACCTTTAACTTGCCTGAGGTAGTGAAGATTATATCTGCTTTCTTGATGTCATTTGTATAATGACTTTATTGTTGGTTACTGTTGCAAGTGAAACAGATTTAAATAGGCGAGGCTTTATCACTTATCCATAGCGTGACGGCAGTAAAAGCAGGCATGATGTTCAGTGAAGTTTCATGTTTCTGCAAGCTCATTTTCATATTGTATGGAAATGAACATAACCGCCACAGCTGCTTAGAATCATTTACAACATGTTTTACTCAATGGTGGCAGTAATGTAAAGGTGACCTTTGGGTCATCATCTTAATTGATTAACCTACAAAATGTGGAAAATTGGTGTTAAAATGGCCATTACAATTCCTCAGTGACGTCTCTATATTACTTAGTTTGCATCACTAACAGTCTAAACCCCAAAGATTTTCATTACACAATGTTACAACAAGAGAAAAGCAGCAAGTCCTCACGTTTTAGAAACTGGAATCAGTGAATGTTTGTCATTTTTGCTTGAAAAACGACTGAAACAATAAATCAACTATCAAAGAGGCCGATACATTTTCTGTCGATTGACTAGCCAATTAATCTGCTAGTCGTTTCAGCTCTATGGATGAACGGAAGCGTAAATTCGGGTATGGTCCTTTAACATCCGTTATGATGGTACTTCAGTTCTGGTTAACTGTCTCTTTTATGGCTTATCGTAACTTGGATGCTGGTGCGGCTGTGGGATAATAGTGAAATGTGTCCCAGTGCGAACCAACAAGCCCACTCGCACTGTAACGGAGAACTGGCTAATCTGCAGTAGAGCATTTGCCATCAAGGAGATTGTAGTTACTTCTTAGCAGTGTGGTGTTAAAGGCCATCAAACGAGTGGGGCTGTCAGAGCAGAGTCATGTCTGACACCAGAAGAGCCAATCCGTCAGTTTGAGACACAGGGAGCCTCACATCCTCCACTCCGCCTGAGGCTGCTGTTCACTCAGGAGAACACTGCGAGCTCATAGAACCACTGGACTCAAATTACAACCTCACGGACGAGTCTGTGAAGACAAACCTGCTTTCTTGCACACCAGAAGAGCCTGAGGTTGTCCTCCTCTGTAATATGTGTGTGAGCTTTTTGAGTGTGCTTAGCTGGAAGTCAATCTGTTTAAGCAGCAACTGTACCAAAGCCGTTATCTGCCCGCAGCTTAATTGACTGCAGAGACGATATTGGGCTTTGCAATAGTTTGGCCAGGTTGTCCGTCTCAGTTGCCTCCAGTGCAACTCTCCAAACGGGGCCGATGTCAGTCCTTCCATCGGTGATTGCGCTCTAATTAGGGCCTCGTGCACAGCTGTTGCAGACCGATAGCATTGTTTGTCCGTCAGTCGTCAGGACGGCTGATCTGTTGTCTATTCTTTTCATTATGCAAACAGAGAGTATGTAGCAGACACATTTGGTCTGGAAATAATGAAGACTCTTCATAGAGTTTGTTTACCAGCTATTGTTGCTGCGTCTCTTTTTCCGAGATATACAGCAAATAAACATTCCAACAAGTTCATGTATTGATTTATTTATTTATTTATTTTTTTTTTTACTGCAAGATCCCTACAGTAACCTCTGTTTTTACACGAGCAACTGAAATCTTTGCAATACTTTTTTTTAAAACAGGTGCTTTGCACTTGTAGCAAGAAACGATTTAAGAAACAATGGATGGAGAATCACTAGAACCAGTAGTCATATTTCATCACGGGGGGCGGACGTTGTGAAGTTATTATGAATTATATATAAAGTGTTAATATGAGACTAAATGACAATTTAGATTAGCAGGTTTTTCAGTGTAGTTTTCCCAGAGAATCCCTCCTCTGGTCAGTTCTCCCTGGTTAGGACAAGCTGAGGAAAGAGCACGCTTTGATGTTCTCAATAGCCCCTCCTGTCTGATCTCATCTTCATCCTTTCTCTGTTCTGCTTTCACGGAGAACAAAGAAATGATCATCAGCAAAATAATGCAACTCTTTTAACTTTTTCAGGATATGAACGGGGCATTTCTGTGACAAGATTTTACATTCCTAAATATATTTTCTATTTTTAAGCTGTAGTGCCTATCTTTGGCTTCAGTTTATATTTGATGTATGATAAAGTGGAATGGTTTTCAATGTTTTTGGACTAATGTTTTAGTTGTAATTTCATTTCCTGTTTGCTAAGAGTGAGATGAGAAGATTGACAACGACCTTTTCTTGGACTGTTTCACTTCCTGCGGTCTTGTCGTCACTGTGAGGTTGCCACGCAATCAGCTGAGACTCAGAAAGTCACGACACACAGCCAAGAAATAATCCAGCAGAGAACCTCTCAAAAACACTTATTATTTTAACACTTGCTTTTTAGTATAGTTTAAACAAGCAAAATATATTGTGTTAGTGAGCTTTAGCAATGCCATTCCTCTTCTTTACTTTCATCATAAACAAAATGAAAGTACAAAAACGGAAACATGCTATTAGTATCAGCTGAGGTTACCAACCTCATTGCTGCTCTTCAAATGATCAATATGTTGTTGTATGATTTTCATTACTGTCAACAAACACACCTCCCCAGAAGCAGCTCAGTAGACACCAAGCCAACAAGTAATTAGCATGTTTGTGCTCAGCAGATGGTTAGAGGACAGCTCAGAGATGAGCCATTAACATGTGTTCTTGAGAGAGGAAAGCCACACCCATGTTTTTCCTTAAATTAGTTGCGGTCTTTTAGTAGCACATTAAAATAGCTGTCTATTAACACCCTTTTTCTTTTACGCAATTTAAATGACGAGCCTTGTAATCAACACCAAATTAGACAAATACACAAAGGTGGAAGGGACTATTACTGCCTGAAGGGTAAAGGAGGTGTTACTGCTGATTTAACAGCAGAGAGGGAATATATATCGAGGCGTTTACGCAACTGAAGTTTGATCAAAGCATGAACTTAGTGACTAATTGTTATGTTGAACCATCCAAATGCAAACAGTTGCAGCCAGCTGGTGCTTAGACTACCCACCTGAAGAAGTGACGCCAGCCTCATTATTGAGTTTTTGATCAAATCACAGTTGGTCCCCCTACAATTTTTCCTTTCCATAAAGCCATGCTTTTTCCAAACAGGTATGTTTAATTTAATAGCGATCACTGGATCTGTCCTAGTTTCAAACGCACATCTCATCGGATATCGTGAACGATTCATTAATGTATAATCAAGCTACGATGAAAGGATGGCGTTATGTACCATAACACATTGCATAAGCCTTCTCTTATTGTGTCTTATAAACTGCAATTTGTAAGTTGTTTACAGGACAAGTTCATCATAACACATGAACATAATTCTGTTAACCACAGTTACAATCCAGCACTAATGAATTTAAAGGAGTAATTGGCAAGTTTCCGCTGAATGATGTGCAGAAAATAAACAGCAGTTCACATTAGGATGATTGAATGTGTAACATTTTAATTTTCCCACAGCCAATCTTTATCAGCACTGTATCTAAAAAAAGAAAGATAACTCACAATGCTAAAGAAAAAAACATCTGTGCCTTGCTTCGGAGAAAATAGAAACTATTCTCTGGAAGCACTCGTGATTGTACATACTGTGTATATATATAGCAGCGATTCAACAGGACTTGGAAAAAGGACTCTTGCAGGCTTGATGAACCAGTTGCCATGCAACAGTCTTAACTGTGTGCCAGGTAGACTTGTCCAATTAATTTGGTTTTACAAT